GCGGCCTTGTGTTGCTAAGCTCAGTGGGCTGGATCTGGCAAGTGTAGATAAAATGTCTCCTGTAGAGCTCAATTATTGATGTGAGCAATGGAATGTGTCAGAGTGTGAAGCTTCGTATTACGGGTTCACTCAGTTATGGCTAATTTGTCTTAGTTTTAGACAAATATTGCTAATGGGATGCTAACTGTTTGTATGTTAGCCTTAGCTTCAGAAAGCACAGATCATGGACCATCTGATGTATATCAAACACACAAAAATGGCAAGAGTGGCTTCAAATCTGGCTGTTATGCAATTTAAGTCAGAGTGTGCAAATTTTTTGCACAAAAGTCCACCTGGAAACAATGTTGTTGCTACACTCTAAAAAATGCTGAGTTGTTTCAAAAGGGTTTGCATCTCTCACGTCAGTTGGTTCGACTGGCTCATCTGGATGCTATGATTCGCTGCTGCCTCCCAGAAAGCAAAGAGCTTCTACAAGTCTTGCTTATCTGGGAAACGGCACTAGACATATCTGGGCCTGCAGGTCTGAAGTTAGACTAATTGTTTTGCTGTCTGCTAAGTGGCACAGTTATGGTCGTTCTCTGTTTATCGCACTATAACGGGGCTCTTCTGATCTGTAGGAGAGCTGACAGCTAGTGAGTAGTGCTTCGTCTTTGTGTTAGCGGCCTTGTGTTGCTAAGCTCAGTGGGCTGGATCTGGCAAGTGTAGATAAAATGTCTCCTGTAGAGCTCAATTATTGATGTGAGCAATGGAATGTGTCAGAGTGTGAAGCTTCGTATTACGGGTTCACTCAGTTATGGCTAATTTGTCTTAGTTTTAGACAAATATTGCTAATGGGATGCTAACTGTTTGTATGTTAGCCTTAGCTTCAGAAAGCACAGATCATGGACCATCTGATGTATATCAAACACACAAAAATGGCAAGAGTGGCTTCAAATCTGGCTGTTATGCAATTTAAGTCAGAGTGTGCAAATTTTTTTGGAAACAATGTTGTTGCTACACTCTAAAAAATGCTGAGTTGTTTCAACCCAATGTTGGGTCAAATATGGACTAACCCAACTGTTGTGTTAAAAAGTTAATTAAAAAATGTAACCAAAATTTAACCCAACAGTTGGGTTAGTCCATATTTGACCCAACATTGGGTTGAAACAACCCAGCATTTTTTAGAGTGTAAAGTGAGCACACAAGGGAGAACTCGTCCCTGGATTTCTTAGAGTTTACAGGGGTTAGGACATTAAATCAAAATGTTAAAAAGTTTTCATTTGGTAACAAAAAGCTTTTTCCTTGTCTGTCAAATTCAATGGTTTTATTTATGAATAGGTGTAAATTAGGAATTGTATTGATTATTCACTGAAAATGATTTTATCTTGTTTTCCAGTATAAATATCTAAAATTCAATGTATATTTGCCAATGAAAAAAGAGAGATAAACTTATTTCAAAATTAAATGTAGTACATTTAATTTAAATGAAGAAGAAATGCTTTTCTTCTTCAACATTTTGTTAGATTTCTCACAACATGAGACTTTTCAGATCTTATGTAATTTTCCTAAAATTTAAGGAGGTTTAGATGTAATTGCTGGAAATTAAGATGGAATACTAACCTTTGTTTTTCACCTTTGAAGACCCTTAGAGTTTTATATTCAGGAATCCTGTCACCGAAACTAGGACAGATCACTGACACTGACTGATATGTATTATTTGGTAAGGGGACCATGATAAAATACTTGCTTTTCCTCAGGCTACGTCAAAAGGACTCCAGCAAATGGATTCTTTTTTTCAATTACCTTGCTAGAGTTCAGTCGTGCATCATCAGTGACTCCAGACAAGAAAAGAGATGGAGGTTTCATGTCATGCCACTGAAACAAAATGCACAGATGAAATCAGCGGTCCATCATTTTATACAGGGAATAAAAACAACCCCATAAAGCTCTAAGCAAAGCCGTTCTTTGATAAACTGTAATTTAGTGCTGCTGTTTAAAAACGGTAATTATTTAACATTGCAGATTGATGTTTTAAATGGTTCCTGATTTCACGATGAGGCACTTTTAAGAGCAATTATCCTGTGGCTCTACTTCTTTCTAGTCAATCTGACCTGCTGCCAGAATCTGTGTTAGCTGCTTGATGGCTTTGTATTCAAGCTAATACAAGCAAACGAAAGCCTTTTTCAACAATCCATTTGAGTGCATCATTTGACCAAAACAGGAGCATTATGCATAAAACCCAGATCACTCCCTAAGTCTTTTAGATGTTTATGAGTAGTTCATGTAAAAAAAACTTGACATTAACAAAAGTCTGTGTTTTTATCTGCTCTCTGCTCTGCTGTGATGACCACAGATACCAAAATGTTTCTACAAAAACTTTTATGCAGGAGTGTAGAAAAAAATCCATAATGAAAACCCTTTACAAGTACGCACACTTTTAAATTACAGTCACTTCTTTATTTATTTTTTTCAATAATTTGGCTCGACACTTTACAGTGACAATGATAAAACAGCACATTTTTGTCAACACTTACTTTAGTTAATATTTTGTCAGTAGCTCAGTGCACAAACAGTGCCAAGCATACTTTAGGTTTGCTCATGAATATTAATTATATTATGTGACGTTCATCCTGCCTAATTTTGCAAAACTAGCTAATTTCAGTGACAGAATTCCTGGATATGAAACCTGATTTCTAACAGCCTTTAGAGGAGAAAAACAGGTTTCTCAATCCCAAAATATAATTTAAGTCTTCTGTAGTCTTAGACTTAACTGCAGTCACAAAGAAACCTCTTGAAAATATACTGTATAAAAGAAGGAATTTAGCAATATGTTTTAAAAGTTAGGGTTTAGTTACAATAACTGCCTTGGATCCATGTAAACGGGATTATACAATATTTTATATACATTTATTAGAGTATTGAAATGTGAGCAGTTGTAAGTCAAATCTCCCGAGGCGAGAAAAAAAAAGGTGCATTTACTTATATAGCACTACAAGATACAATTATACAATACAGATTGTTTCAAAGCAGTTTCACATTAATAAACAGGAAAATAGAGTGTTAATGTTGTAAAACAAATGCAGTTTCAGCTGTGCTACAGAAGGCAATAGTGTCATTATTCATCTCACTTTAGTTCAGTGTTGTTTCAATTCAGTTCAGTGCCAATGTTGCAAAGTCCATCAATTATGAAACAAGTTCAATTCAGCTACAAGCACCTCTACGGAGAAAATACTATTTCAGTCTTTCTGCTTTAAAAAAAATCATGTTTAATTCGCTTTGTAATTAATTGTGAAATTTACTAGCAATTTCTGAGTGAAAATTATTTATACACCTTTTTTTTCCCAATGCAGCTCACTAGGTTGTGGAACTGAGCCCTAGGTTAATCATGGGAGCTCATGTCTGTTAATTATTAAATTTAATAATGCTTTTTCAGCATTGCAGGAGCAAATGCTGTGAATTCTGAGCATTATGGCAGCTTCCCCTCCCCCAGGTTGCCTCTGTCTCCTCCCACTGTCACACTGCAGGGACACAGATCAATCAGGTTTCACCAGCTCACACCAGAGTTGAGCTATTCATGTTTAATTCAGCTGAGACCTTTATCTCCCTCGCTAGCAGTGGGATCTCAGAGCAGAGATATCATGGTGTGTGCTGACACCACCTGCTGGCAAATGGCTCATAGCCCCTCCCCTGAAGCAACGGGCCAATCGGCATGTGTTTGCACCATCTCTGTGTGAGATGCAGTACCAGATCTAATGCCCTGCGTTCTGCCACCAGACTCTGATCTGGGGGCCTCAGTGGCTACGGCCCGCTTGCTTGCAGCTGTCCATCATCTGCATTACGCCAGAACACAGTTCTGTTCTGAAATGAGACAAGGCCATGATGTGATGACCGGCACTGAATTTAAAAATTGCATAGTTCAGAAAAAAAATTAGCTGTGAAAGTTAGGACTATTAAGTTACTAGAAATGAAAAGAAATACTCTTTTTAAATAATTTCAGTTTCAAATTAATGTTGTTCTTTTTAACTTTTTATTCATCAAAGAATCCTGACAAAAATGTATCATGTTTTCCACAGTGAGTACAATCTGATTTCAACATTGATGATAATAATGTTTCTTGAGCACCAAATCAGCATATTAGAATGATTTCTGAAGGATCATGTGACACTGAAGACTGGAGTAATGATGCTGAAAATTCAAATTTGCCATCACAGGAATAAATGACATTTTTTGATCAAATAAATGCAGCCTAAGCATGAGGGGCTTCATTCTCATGACGTAACTAGACTCAAGTTGACATCCTGTAACCTGGGACTTGTAAATCTTTACCGTCATTACTTATGTCTTGATTTTTGTGAGCTTAGCGAACGACCTCAAGATAGCATCATTATGAAGCTTCCCGGAACCCTTGCAGTCAGCTTTATGAATATGGATTACTGTTCAGGGCAGATTAGTGAACACAGCAAAGTATTTATCAACTTCAGCAGTGGGATATCAGGAGCAATGGGAATTATGCCCGCTTTTTGGTGTAATCCTCTGTGGAATCATGAACTAGACTTAAGGTACTACAAATTTAACTCTAAAAAATCTAAGGTTGTATGGAGGAGAGGTGGTCATTGGTATGTAATTAGATTTTTTTTTTCTCTTCACAAATTCTAGCAATTACAAAGTATGCATAAACATTTGTTTGCATAAAATTACAGACAGTACACTGCATTTTTTAAAAAGTAGTAAATATAAAGATTATAGAAGTATATTTGACAAGAAAATACTATTTTCAAAATTTCACTTTTCACACAATTCAGTATGTTGTTTCTTATGCTCTACTAGCAATTTCTGAGTGAAAATTGTTTATACGCCAATTATTTCAGCGTACAATCTGGTTTCATTTTAAACAACTACTGAACTAGTTTAATTTGGAAAATTTTATGAAATATTATTTTTATAATATCATATTTTAGGTATGTTAAATATAATAATAATGTTTATTTGTTTATTTATTTATTTTTCTCTACTACCCATAGGATAGCTTTCCAGCAAGGTTTGGAGGGATTCATTTTGTCAACCAACCTTGGTACATCCACGCTTTGTACACAGTCATCCGGCCTTTCCTCAAGGACAAAACAAGAAAAAGGGTGAGAGAAGTTATTGATTTATGTGTCTGTTTTTTTCAATCACATTTAATTGTGAACTATTCTGTTTATGTACATGTAATATACATTGAAATAAACATGCTTTTGATGTGCATGCATGCAAAAAAAATTGCACAGTGCAATGCCATAGAATTTAGTGCGAACCGCTGAATGGTAATGAAACTACGAAAAAATAACCAGGCCAATAACAGTATTTTATTTGTTGTATATTTAGATTTTCATGCATGGAAACAATCTGAACAGCTTGCACCAGCTGATCTTGCCTGAGATTCTGCCATCTGAGCTGGGTGGCATGCTGCCTCCTTACGACATGGGCACCTGGGCCAGAACGTTGCTGGACCACGCGTATGACGAAGAGACGGACTACTGCCCTGAATCCTATACCTTGTCTGTCAAAGACCTGGAGAAAGATCTGTCCCCCAAAACTATGAAAAGGTATGTTACTTGATGATCTAGCTTTTCAGCTTTTTTATGCAGGCATAGTGGAATGTTTTAGTATTATTTGTTATCTTTGTATTATTTATATATGTTATTATAGCATTTATTAATATTTTAAATTAGCTTTAATTTTTTATTTTCAGTTTTCATTTTAATTTTAGTTTAAGTTTTAGTATTTTTTCTGTGCTTTTGTCATTTGTATTAGCTTATTTTTTTTGTTTTCGTAAATTTAGTGTTTCAAATGATTTTTCAACTTATTTAGTCAGTTGCCAAGGCAAAATGTTAATTTTTTAAAAAGTTTTTAAGTTAAAATTTGTCATATAATATTATTTTATTTGATATTTTTATTATATATTTTTATTATATATTTTCTTTTATTTTCACCTTTATTTCAGTTACTCCAAACTATTTTTAATCATTTTGATTTTGGTTTCAGTTAACCATAACATTGGTGCTCATTGAAACAAGCATGTGAGGTCACCGAACTGCCCATATAATATATGTTATGTATTTCTAATGTGCTCGTTGAATGACATCATTTGGTGGCTTGCCATGGAAACAGCATTTGCTTATTCACAGTCTTCATTCAAGTAGAATTATCAAGAGAGTCGCTCTGGATAACAAAAATAAGCTGCTTTGCCAGAGGCATAAAGAAGCTACAGTGTTTGTTAAAGGAGTCACATTTGAGCTGCACACTGTATGTTTCTTCATGGTTACGGTGCTTAGCAACCGACTCCCTAGTTTTATGATAAAATGCAGCTCTTCTTAATAAAATAAGCATTTTGGGATGATCTTACAGTATGTGTTTGACCAAGCGACTTGAGCTCATTTCACTAATCAAGACATGGTGAGGTGTCTTGACTTACTGGGTCATGAAATCAACATGAGGGAGTGAAGCCATTGCCATGAGCTGCGTTAAATGATGCACTGCCTATACATGGACACCTATAGAGTGTAAAAGAAGACATTACAGAGGTTTTCCTGTGGCAAACATCTTACTTTTTTCCCTTGCCTTCTGCATTTGGGGCTGTACTTGTACAGAGACGTTGGCTACCAAATATAGCCTAGTTTGCAGTGGCTTATTTTTCCCTCACATTTGAAGGAACTGTTTGGATTCTAGCGTCTGGGGAGTGCAGTAGTTGGAAGAAAGTAGGTCTTAGATGTTCTTCTATTGCTAAGATCAAAGTACTGTTCTTTAAACAGCTTTGGCTATTAAACTAAACCTCCCAGTCCGCACATAACATATCTATGTACATAAAAAAATAAGCTTTGGTGGAATCCTGCACCCTGTATGGTGAATTATTCTCTAGTGTTGTATTATTAACATAATTCATCATGTTTTAGATGTGACAATAGATTGCTGGTGATGATCTATATTTACTGATATTCAATTCCATCTATTCAGTCTCATGGATACACTCACAAACAGGTCATATATTGGGGCTTTGGTTTACAATAGTGAGAAATGATTAAAGGGGTCATATATGATGTTGCTTAAAAGAACATTATTTTGTCTATTTGGTGTAATGAAATGTGTTTTTGCAGTTTAAGGTTAAAAAAAAAGATTATTTTCCATATACTGTACATTATTGTTTCTCCTCTATGCCCCGCCTTTCTGAAACGCATAGATTTTTACAAAGCTCATCGGTCTGAAAAGCGAGGTGTGCTCTGATTGGCCAGCTATCCAGTGTGTTGTGACTGGCCGAATACCTCAAGCGTGTGACGGAAATGTTACGCCCCTTACCAAACTGTGATGATGCCCTGTGTAGCGAATTTACTCTACACTGCTCAAAACTTGCGTTTGAATCGACAGTGGCAAATTCTTTAAATATAAAAAACTTACAGTCTGTGAGTCAGAACAACCGGCATTGTAGTCTACTCTACCATGATTAGGAAACAGTCCTCTATAAAATGCGCTGGACACATCTGAATATTTGGGTTGTACTGTTCTGGAACAGTGTTGTAAATACAACTTAACCAGATTTTTAGTCGTGTCCTCTTTTGGAAGGCCAAATAATGTAGTTTAGCTTTCACAACGAAACACACAGCATTTTCACGACAAGGCGGCGACGGCAACAACAATACTACAGCAAGAATAAAAGTTACTATCTTTGCGTGAACATTTGGGCGGCGTTGTGCAAATCTTCCCACATCGTGACGTAGACATGTGGGGGCGTGTTAGAACGAGCCGTTTTAGGTAGG